TCACGAACAGGGGGAGCTTGAGTTCTTTTCGTCAACCTGCAATACTTGTGGCGCTTCCATGACATTCGACTTTTTCTTAAAGGAAAAACGCACACTTGTGAAACCGGGTCAGCCACACTGAGCAGGCAAATCGACTGCTACGTAGTCGTATGTTGGGTGCGAATAGTAGTTCTATTCAAAAGTAAACCACTCCACATCGCCTTCACTTGCTCGATCATGTTTTACGTATGCCTGCTTATCGTCTACCTGTCTGTGCTCTCTTCGCACGTGCTGCAAAAATTTGGAAGAAGCGATGCAACTTTCAAATTGTAATTTGGTGCTGGGGTGTGAAGAAGTTAGCTTTATCATCGGCTTCGGTTGATACAACCCCAAGAATTGAGGATTGACGTTGTTACGAGAGGCGAAACTGATTTGAATATAGGTCAATGACGCGAATACTGTAGCATTCCGTGAGCTTTAAAAGACGAACCCAAAACAGACAGAAAACATTAAACAGTGTGCAATGAAACAAACACATTGTTCTTTACTCCGTAATTTGTTCTTCATTTATATATAAATCATCCATTTCCGTTTGCATTGTTTTCACGTTGGCATTGCACTTGTTATCAAGTCAGTGCATGATTTGATCTCTAGTGGTGACAGTAATTGCAGTAATTAGTTGTCTCTTCTTGAATTAGCTTTGTTTTGTTTGTTACAAGGTTTGTTGAACTTTACGCAATCCTCTGGCTTTAGATTCGGTCGCTTATTGTTACCACGCACCGTGCTATTTGTCTTCAATAGTGGGCCTACTACGGATCAAATCTGTTAGTTAATAAAAACATAGGCAATGCGTGTGAGGCAATTATCGTAATAGGAGCGAGGTTGTGGTGAAATAAAGTCATTTTTGATAGCGCTTCTTACTGATCGTTTTCTCAATTTTTAAATTGACATGATTAGAAGCATAGGAGTTGTTGTTCAGGGAAAGTTCATGGACCAATCCTGTGACTCACAACATCGAAATAAGACAACACCGTACGTGACCTTATTCTGGTTTCTGTCTCTCGTTGGGGAGATAAACAGTTGAATCGTCATATTTCGATTTGGTTAGTTCAACATCCTAATTTTCTAGAAAAGTAAAGTTCACTACAGAAATTTCGATTTTTCTTGTATAAAATATGGAAACTGAAATGCGGTTGGTTATGGTCAAGATAATGAATTGACTTTGGTTGTTGAATGTCAGAGCTTGTTCTGAAATTATCTGAACTGCGGATAAACATCTTACATGTGCCAATTGTGATTGTGAATAACACCCCGAAAATTCGTTCGATGGAATAAGACATCCTTTTCCTGAAGTTTTTCAATCATCATGTTATCTTGTAACGTCCAGAATTACCCTTGTCTGTTCAACTTATGGCAACTAGCGTTGACCTTATCAACTAAGGTGGTTGCTTTGTGGCCCATGTAAATATAAGTCAATCTGCAATTTAGAGCCAAAGGTCAGGCCGGATCGAGCTGAAATACACCCGCTTTGCTGCAAAGTTAATCCACCCTCTCTCGGTTTACTTAATTACTAACCCTTGAAGTGACCCGTATCCGAATAACTGCAGTCGGCCTTGGTATGGCAATCTGTAAGTTCACGGGGACAGTAATTTGCGGCGGTCAACTTTGAGCAGCAAATTGATGGCAATTGCTGGCGAATGTCTCTCTAACAGGTTGTCTGAAATCGTCACTTCAACCAATGTCCATCGCCCGTATTATGCTTTGACTATTCGTCCAATTTTTGCATCGGAATTTCAAAATTGTTCTCAATAATATAAGTGGACGCGGGTAGGCGGAGTTCCTCCGAACAACCAATAACAGTGAGCCAAATAATCCATGCTGGGTTTTTAATGCGGGTTCGATCAACCAGGTAACAAATTTAAACCTCGCTTTGCTCACTTTATTGTCATTTCAATTAGTGACCTAATTGCAATCAAAAATGATTGTTACTGTGGTGACTGGTACTTACAATCAGTGCCCGTTTCGCAATGAGACATGTTTTTGGTTCAATTGTAGCAGAGATCAGACGGACGTTCACCCGTTTCATAACCCGATCACGTCGACGAGTGGGTTTTTCATCGTATTTCATGTGTAATTTCACTCTGACAACCGCGGCTAGTGACTAACAGCCAGTCAACCAATGCCTGCCAGAAATCAGCAGTTCGTAATTAATCTGTGAGCATTTATTCCGGAATAAGTTAGGTGAAAACGAGTTCAAAAGTTCCTCGTGCCTCGTGCCTTTAGATTCATCCAGATCTTCAGTAACAACTTACTGAATGTTTCTGACTAGAGCCCTTGAAGAACATGAGTAGTCAACCGATACAATTTGGAAGTTGTTTCCATTGTTGTTACGTCTTTACACCTCAACAATAACTTAACCAAAACAGTGTGAAATCCTATGCAGTGATAATCCACACTTACTTGACGCGTGTTCAGAGAATACTCTCGTTACTTTCCTATATTTACTAACCTGATTGCTCTTACCTCTTTTTCCTCACATCCGACGACTATCCGTATTCAACAACCGTTGTCAGCGCAATATCACCCGCGTATGATGGGAGCATCGTGTGAATAACGATGAAGTCAGACGAAGGGTGCTAGGATCAGATTATATATATATATATATATATATATATATAACACCGGCTTGTAGATAAGCATGGTGCCAACGCCACAACAGATCAGACAGTCTTCCTTTGAGCAAAATAATTTCACAGCATTGTCTTGGGTCGCTAGGGCACGTCTTACGAATGCCTGAGCAACGTCTGCCACGCCGTGCACTATTTGCAGACATCGGTCCAGGCTTGAAGAAATTGTGAGTGGACAGGCTATGACATGGCGCAAAGGGCTAAAGAGACTGTACTCGGATCTGGCTTCCAGGCTGGGACCTTAAAGATTGTCTTTGGCTGGAGACACTGCGGGATATGAAATCGAACCGAAGTCAGTGGCGTGAACTTATCTCCTGTGTGCAAAAATAAACAAAAACAACAACAAGAACCCCAAAACTGTGTGCAGTAAACAAACAAAAAATTTTATTCCCCCAAGTTGACGGTCTCGTTTTCCTCGTTTTCGTACCCATATTTTTCGTTAACCCATGGTTATTTTTGGCGCCGTATCTGTGAAGATCAGTGTTGAATATATATATATATATATATATATATATATATATATATATATATATATANATATATATTCATCAAGATACACCGGATCGGTGTGAACTACAAACATAGTGGTAGATTGTCTTTATTTTAGATATTCATTACCTTATTACAAACCTTTGATAGCATACAATGTGAAAGCGTAGGTCTGCTTCTTATTTTTGGTGAATTATATTTGTGGCGAAGATAGAATGGTAATTCTTCTTAATGAAGGTTATACTTATCACTGAACTTCTTAATTTACTCCCGAAGCAAAAACTGTTAGGGATTTTACCGCATTGTGTCTGAGAAACTGTCGAAACTTGTATGCAATCATACAATATTACTGTGCTGTTACTGTTTAAACAGGATCACCAAGATCAATTTTGAATTAAAACTAAATCGATCAATAACTTCCCGTATTTAGAGCCAAGTTATGTCCATTCTATGCCTTCATCATCTTACAATCGTGAATCATACGTGGATGGAAAGAGCTCGGTTATACCGAATCCTTATTGTTCAAACTGAATTAGGGACTTTGGAGATGAAAAACCTATACAGTTCTCTGTTTTCTACTTGCGCTCTTACATTTTCCCTTTGTTTCATTATAACCGGATAAAACGTACGATATCAGGTAGCCGAGCGCCATTGGGCTCACAGTTTTCAAACTAGGCAGAAAATGCCATTTTGGAAAATTGCCTGACTGTGTATCCGCTAAACTCGTTACACCTCACATGTCTGTCTATCCATATACCGCTTTGTGATACGGCCCATACAGCATTCTGTACATACCTGTTATACACATCTATTTAAAATATCCTATTTACTCTGGGTTTCGATTGGGCGTTGGTTCTCATTCTATCCAGTTATGATCACACGAGCAAAATCTCCACTCGAATGATTGAAGTCCGATTATCAAATTGAAGCAACCCCTCGTGTTACCTGGCTCATCATGCTGCACTGTACACTAAACCTGCTCACCTATTCGGTTGTGCACACAGGCGGAGATAGTCGGCGGGGCGTACGGTGAGTGGCACAAACACACAGTGATGGTTAGCCGAGCATTTGGGCGTTTTCCTGGAGTCCCAATAAACCCGGCTGTGTTGGGAGGTGGAGGGAGAGGGTTGGCAACGTGGAGCACATGACTGTAGCACATGCTGTTACCGAGTCATTCGCAGTCCAACTTTCTCCCCCTTTGTTGTAAATAAATTATATTCTACTCTCAGCTTGCACGCAGTGTCCCAGTACTAAAATCGTAATGTAACTGGCTTGAGTTAGCTGTTTGGTTTGAGGATGAACAGTTAACATCTATTCAGACTTATACATTATCTAAGATAGTTGACCGGTTTTAGCTTTCAGACTTCCAAATTTTGTCATCTCCCCCCAGCGATGAAATAATGATCATCGTGGAGAACGTTTTCAGCTGAGGGATTTTATTCTAAGTCAATACCCCTACTTCTTCGGGTAGTAGCAGCTTAATATTGTGATGGAAGGTACAAAGAGAGCCCGGCTAGCGAACGAATGAAGAATAGGGCCGATCCAACCAACCTGGTGCGCAGACGTAACGGCTGAAAGTACTTCGCGAGACAATGTCGACTACCACTCGAAACGAACGAATCGACAATTACAGCCCGACGGACGATCCGCATCTAGCTAGAAAGATGTCCACCGAATACCACTGTCGGAGCTGTCGATCAACGTATCTCGCGTTACGATCGGGTCAAACCAGTCAGAACGGCACGCGGAAGAAGGGGAAACTTACGTGCCAAGTGTGGACCAAAACAAATAGGAATGGACCAACAGAAGGAAGCATGAATCATCCTGCCGCGCGGTTAAGGATTGATTGTATATAATCGAATGCATACACCGGTTGTTTTGGGAATTGGATCAATAAAGGTTTTGCCAACCGACTCGCCTTCTCGTTACAGTATGTTTCCATATATGCAAACCGTTATATTATGCTATTCGGTTTTGGCCGCAGTACCCTTGTTTGCGGTCTGACAGATTCGCCTCACTTAGTTTGATAANTTTGATAATTTCATATGCACTGAATAAACAATTAACAAACTAACTTTAAGACCGGATTTTTTCGATGAGTGCTATTTGAGTCAAATTTCTCATTTTTATTTAGTTCTTTTCGGATGTTTTTCTCTAGTAGAATACGGGTTTCTAACCTCAGTCCTTCCCTAACGAATAAAAATCAATTGTTATCAATCAGGAACCGGATTAATGTGATGCAGATCTAGCATGGGATTGCAGAGTACTACTACTGAAAATAGTTATCCTTATTCAGCTGTTTATAGGTTTCGTTTGATGATAACGAGTAACGTCTCAGAGGGTGTGATTGTAATACATACAGGTGCATCTTTTGAAGTAATTATTTGTATCCAGATCGGGTAGTACTGGTTTTGGTCATTTTTTCTGATGAAAATATTGTGCCCAGTTATGTTGTTGTTTATAGCTTGTGAACAATCCTGGTGGCAATTTCGGGAAATATTGCTTGCTCTATTGATTCGCTCATGTCTACTTACGAGCATCCGTTTAGACGACTGTTGTCAATTTTTGGTATATTAAATTCGCAAAAATTATACATCAGTTTTTCATTGCAATCATGAGGCATTGTGGTTTATAGGTGTAACAGCTATGAAAGTGCCTGCGAGTTGTGTCGATGGCTGCTTGAACGTCAATATCCGGCTTTTTTGCCGCGTTCCAGCCGGTGATTCCAGGTTGTCCCGAACTGTGGCCGTTATATCGGAGTAAGATAACTGTAAACTGTCGATGTTTTCGAAAACCGATATATCAGTTTAGAAGAAATGTCAGTTTTAAGGCTAAATTTTGCGCAAATATTTTATTTTTTAGCGGTACCCGTCAATGAAAAGCACATGTACATCAAAATATTCAGCCAACATCTCATTATTTTGTTCCTTCTCTGTTGGTAGAATTCTGTGCGTCACAATTTGTCACTCAACAAATGTTTTGAAAAAGTGCCGCGAGACAAGAACGAACGTGGGAAAGGTGGGTTTTGGCGCGTTAATCCAAAACATGCAGATTGGCTGGAGGCCAATCTGGCCAAATGTCGCAAAGTTGCGCCACCACCAGGACCTCCGCCACCCATGCCACGTTCTATGCTGCTTCAACAACGACAGCAGATTCAAGAACCTGGGTTGCTTGTCACCCCCACACAGCTTCCTACTTCCCTAGGTATGATACAAGGAGTGCATCACGAAATGAACAGTACATTACCGGGTTCAAAGTTCGAATCCCCCAAGTGGAACACAACTACGGCTCTTTCTCCCTCATCAGCTTCCTCCATTTCCTCTCTATCGTCCTCTCCGCAGTCGATGAGCTCTGTTCCTTCTCCAGCCGGAATAGTGACTAACCGTTTTCAAGCACCTCTCGGCCCCTTTCCCCATTTGTTACCCGTTTCTACTAGTTATGTACCAACTATATGCATGTCGTCCGAGAATGAATTATCCACTGGCCCACGAACAACTCTCCCCCTAATTCAGCAAAGTCAGCTGCTTGCACAAAATTCTCCAGTTCATGCTCCAGTCCGGCGTCGAAAGAGTCCATTAAATGCATGTATACCACGTGGTTTGAATGCATGTTCGTTCATGGACGATGGAGATAGTCGTACCAGTACACCAGAAATAGAGTATCACGCTGCGGAGTGCTCCAAGCGTAAACTCGCCTCAGAAAATTGTAAAGATAGTCCAGAGCTCAAAGCACGTAAGAGCCATGGACTGGATAGTTTCATGCATCAATCGCATAGTACCCGAATGCATAAATCATCACCAGATCACTCCGGATCAAAATTCGAGCGTATTGTCCGCGGAAGTGTTGGAGTTAACGTTACTAGTTGCAATACAGATGGTTTATCAGCAAGAGCAGTGATTGGGGGGAGATTCGATCAGAAACTCAAACACCAGCCGTCGAGAGATCAAGCAAAACACACGGATAAAAGGAATATGCTATCCACCCGAACCAGAAGTGATACAAAGCTGGCTCCGACGCGAGTTTTACCGGTAAGCATAAAGACCCTCTATCGTTTCTATTATTTCAAAATAAGTGAATTTATGCTACAGTGATTCTCATGTCTTTCATCTTTGATGATAATTGTGAGCATATGCACTGATCTTGGGATGACTCCATACCGGATTTTCATGGTTACGTCTCCCACACCAGGTTACCCAACGTAAATTTAACATGACGAAACCAACCTCAGGATTCAGGCTGGATAGTACCATGCAGGTTTCATAACCACGCATGTCCTAGTCGTGACGGGCTCGAGGGCCATACCCTACTGACGATTCCTAATAATAACGAAGCAGCTACACAGTGCTTCCAATGCTTTCCGATAATGTGTGTAACAGAGTAATAGTGTAGAATATACTCATACAGTCTTTTCTAAGACTAAGCTTATTACTACATTATCATCACACACCTTATACATGTTATAAGAACGGGAATAATACTGGTCCTCTGTTTTTTTCCATAGCCACGTCATCGTTATTCGCGTTGGTCTCGTCCAAGAAACAATCCAGAACGTGATAATAGCCCGACCTCGGTTCGCCCTATTCAGCGTCGTGCCATGCTTAACCGTCGCTCTATGTCCGAGAGTGAAGAAATTTCAGGTGATGTAAATCGAAAGATCAGCCGCTATCCTCAACTGCCATGCTTGAATGAAGACGGTGAGGATAGCGATAACACATGGCCTCCACATGGTCAGAGTGCGAGCAGTAAGAGATCAGATAGTCCAGATACTACCTACAGTATTCACACATGCACGGGGGATCAACTGCGTGGGACTTTGAATAAGCTGAGCGAGGTTGTCGAAGCAAACTCCCTCACTCCACCTTATGTTCCGGCCGGGTTAGCTCCGGGTCGCTCTTGCTGTCCAGGATCATTACCAAGAGAATCCAATTCATCGGCGGCCTCATCGTCTTCACTCGGCTCTGCCTTTTCCAGTTTGTCCTCCGCCCCTGGATCTGACGGTCATCTGTATCACAGTGTTTCAACTACCTATCAACGAAATCCATCACATGTTGAAACTCAGTCCTCTCAATTGTTTGACTCAACAACACGCTCAAATAATATGGTTCAGTTCAGTCGCCTCTATCCAACCTCTGGTGAAGCGGAATCATATTTGGGTGCCTCACCAGACAGACTAAGGATGCCTAAATGGGCTGCGGTATTCTTGCCAGAGGGAGAAGAAAGTGAATTAGAACCGCTGTACAACAGTTGCACCCAATCTTCAGAGAGAGATGCCATGAATTTCTTTGACAATTTGGATGCCACCGAGGATCATTTAATTAGCCTTTCTAATCGTGGAGACCACATTAATAGCTTGACTCCAAATGATGAACCATCCACGAGTGCTGGTGACTTACACGCACACCAACGTGATTTGAACGGTATGGATCATTCAATTATTGCAGTCACCGTGTCAGGCAACATCTCTGGAGAGCATGACCCTGGTAATCCTGATGATACTTCCCAGATGGCCGGATCGGAAGGTCGTTCACAAGCTCGATTTCTTGCTGCCAGCAGTCCACTACTGGAAGAGTTTGAATTGGATTCTAGTAGTTTAGATTTTGAAGCACTCACCAGTCTAGTGGAATCAAGTGGACCGATTCCGTTGGACTTAGATTTAGCTCTGACAGCAAACTTCGGAACTAATTACTCTACCTATTCAAGTGACTCAGCTCTGGGCAGTTCTGAACAAGGCCAAATTGATTTAAACCATGCAACGAAAAATCCCGGAGCCAGTCCTTGGCCAAACATGTCTACAGTAGGGGATGGGTTAGATCATTCGTGGTTTGTGGACTCTATGGGCTATTCTGGTTCTTGCTGCCTCTCCGCCATTATCGACGAGAACGATGGTCAACCGTCTCGTCAAACAGAAGCGAATAGGTTAAATACTCCCCCTTCATAATGAGAACAAAATGAAGACGATTGTGGTTTGATTGGAGTTTTCTTCAGGAAAGCACCAGTTTTTTGCCAAAGATTGTACATATTCTTTTCTTGCACATCTACTGTTCACAGTTACAAATATGCGTTAATTCTTTCAGACACAGGTTGAGCTGGTTTGACCAAGAAAAATAAGACCAGTTCACACAACTACGTTTTCCCTTTCCCATGGACATTTGCTATACGTCGCTGTTTCTGACGGATGCGTATTTTTTTTACGTAATTCGTGTTCGTCTCATTCGCCCATCCCTACCATCAGATTGGGTTACCTCTTCATTTGAGCTAGACAGTGATTGTCGTCACTATATCAGTTACACGGCATACCTCCTTCCTTCTACTCCGTCTCACATTATCCATACACCCCCGCAACAATGTAGATGCCCACTGCTTCTGTCGTTCCCGAATGTCTAGCATTCGATCGCATTTGTTATCAGACTATTTGTTCCATGCATGCCATTCACTCGCTTCCAAACGGTACTTTGTCCCTCTTCCTCTTTGTTTTGTATCACTTATGTGCCTTCCCCAATATAGGCGTCTTGAAGTCAGTAAAACGCCTATTACGAAGTGAAAAGTTTCATATTCTATGTTGATCATTTGTTTACCGATATGTGCACTACTACACTCAGACAGTCAGCGTTTCGCATTTTCATACACTCCCCCTTTCCTTTATTTGATGTAAGGGTGGGGGGAGGATTATTCCGAAGCCATCGAACACCGTGATCGTATTGTAAACATATCAACTTGTTCACACATTCCACCGCTACACCATCAACACCAACTTTAATATGAATCATGAATTATTGCTTCCTTTCCAAGCCTAATGGCGGCTGTGAACGACTCTGAAAGAGGATGATGACAAAAGAAACTAAGTTTTCGTAATTTCCTGCTATTCTGTGTGAAACCCTCGAAAAAGAAAACGTTTCACGCAAACAGCAGGGCAGCTTTTCATATCATCTGTGCTGTGTCAATTCTTTAACCTGATTTTTTACAGCATTTTTTCTACCATCGACCTTGCTCTTAACACCTTTATCTGAACTTTATTTCATCTGTACTGACACATATCTTCTATGCCTTGTTATTTTATGCGTCTTACTTGTCTATGTATATTACATGCACTTGAAGTTTTCAACGCACAGTGAGAGTTAGTGAAGAGGAGAAATTTCGCTTCCATGCACCACGCACTTTCATTTAATCTTTTAACCCGTAATCACATATCTGGCATTGTCTACCACTGTCTGTCTACCATCTGCCCATATCATCTTCCTACCCCCTCCCTCCAGTCCGTGCTTTTAGCACCACCTACTCGGGATTGTTTCACCACATCTGTCTACCTTTTTACTTAAACTATCCAGTTGCTAAGTCTGGTGTTTTGCCGCCTGTTTATTTGTGATGATTAGAATCAACATTTCCTTGTCACTGATAAACGGATTAAATCGGAGACACGACAAGGGTTCAAGGTTGCCACCGTATGCTTCGTTGCTACTGAATTGATTCATTTCTATCTGGCTCTGAGAGAGAGCTTTGTTTTTAGATTGAGTTTATTCCGTTTACCGTATCTGGAAAGGTTCGCTTCTGGTTAAAAGAATTTTACATTCCTTCCAAAATCGGTTTCTACTTGCTGTGCTATCATTTGTGGGTGATGTTTACGGTTCAGAATGCTTATAGTTATTAAATCTACTCCTATCGAACTTTTTCATCATCCTGTTTCATACGCGCATTTATGTCTATCGAACTACCGTCGGGTTCACTGGATTTGGACAGGCTATTGTCATTCCATTATCCTCGTCTGTCTAGTTTGTGATGGTCTAGTGCAAGGGAAACGTAAACTGCTCGAAACTCCTGTTACTCGCG